GATTACAGGCTGAGCCACCGTGCCCGGCTAGAAGGCCCTTCTAGTTCGGCCTCAGCCACTCCCCCTGCTCAGCCCCTGGACTTCTGAGCCATTCCAGACTGCTTGTGTTTCTAATACTTCAGGTGTCCTGCCCTAGCTTTGCATCTCCGGTTCCCTTTGCTGACAATGCCTTTCCCTTCCTAGTAAACTCCTGCTTATTCTTCAGGACCTGACTCCAGGTTCTAGAACAAATTTTCTTTTTTCTTTTTTGAGTTGGGTCATTCTGATGCTCATGCTGGAGTGCAGCGGCACAATCACAGCTCACTGCACTGCATGCTCAACCTCCTGGACTCAGGCGATCCTTCTTCCTCAGCCTTCCGAGTAATTGGGACTACAGTCACGTGCCATGGTTAATTTTTTTGAATTTTTTGTAGAGACGAGGTCTTGCTATGTTGCCCAGGCTGGTCTCGAACTCCTGAGCTCAAGCAATCCTCTTGTCTCAGTCTCCTAAGGTGCTGGGATTACAGGCGTGAGCCACTGCACCAGGCCAAAAGGCAGCTTCTTGAAATAAAAGGAGCAACCCACCAACATTCCACCCTGTAACAGGAGTCATTCATTCCAGTGTCCAGAGGGGCCAGGCAAGTGCTGTAAATGCGCGGCGGGTGGAGACTGGCGGGGAGGAGAAAGGAGTCTGCAAGGGGGCAGTCTCGCCCAGCTCCAGCCCTGTGTTCTCTTGTGGGAATGTGGGCATAGACCTACCAATTTTTGGTAAAAAACTGGAAATCTGGATATTTCATGGTGAGGATCCTGACTTAAAACTATTGTTGGTAGTCAGGTCACTTATGAAAACCGTATCAGCAAGTAACACACAGAGCTCTGCCCCGCGGCGGGCCGCAGTTTTCTCCTCTGATTGGGCCAGCTTTCTTGGGCCCTGCCTGCGTGGCACCACAGCGCTTTTGGCTCCGATGGGCTCCAGCCACCACTGGGGTCCCAGACCAGGATCTGGGTCTTCTCCTCTGGCTTCAGCTGCAACTTGCTGCTGGCCTCGGGGGGCGTGGAGGCCCTCCAGTAACGGAAGTCCAAAAACTTCTAATTCCGAAGGCGTGGAGCTGGGGCGGATGAAGCAAGAGACGGCTTGAAGGCCGCTCGGGGCCACCCGGTAAGTCCAAGGCGGCGTGGGAGTTGGGATCCGGGCCTCCACCTTCAGTTTGGAGCTCCTTTTCCCCGGACTTGGAAATTATTCCCGCGACTCCTGGCGGGGGGCAGAGAGCCTTGGCGTCCTCGCGCGGCCAGCCCCCTCGAGCGAGCCACGAGAACTACAAGTTCCAGCATGCCCCGCTTCGCGGACGGCCCTCCCGCTGCCCGCCGGCCCAAGCCATTCCTCGGCTCCTCATTGGCTCACGGGCCTAACGTGCTGTTCGGTGATTGGTGACAGCTCTTGTCGCTCATAAGTCCCCATTGCTGGGGCTGGCCGACAGGTGCCTTGGAGACGCCAGGGAGATGGAACGGCACTCGACTAGGATGGGGGGTTGCCCGGCCATTAAAGCTGCCACCTCCGCAGCTGCGAGGGAGGTCTCGCCTTTTAACTCCCCGGCGACCCTGGGATTGAAAGGCTTCCGGCCGGAGGCCATTCGATGGGACACCCGGAAGGCGGAAGTCCCGGGGCGGAAGTGGCTGAGAGGAGAGGAGAATGGCGGCGGAAGGCTGGACTTGGCGCTGGGGCTGGGGCCGGCGGTGCCTGGGGAGGCCTGGGCTTCCCGGCCCCGGCCCTGGCCCCGCTGCACCTCTCCTCCTCCTTCTGTTGCTGGGCCCGGTGGCCGCAGATATAACCGACGGCAACAGTGAACACCTCAAGCGAGAGCATTCGCTCATCAAGCCCTACCAAGGTGAGGCCCTCGGCGGGAACGCGTGAGGGGCGAGGGCGAGGGCGAGGGCGAGGCCGGCCGGGGCTGGGGAAGGCGTGCCCTCGCTCCTGAGCAGAGCCGCTCCGTGAGTTTCCCGCCGCTGGCGAGGCCGGCTCTGGCACGGCCTCTTACGCACCTGCCCCTGCCCGTCTGCCCACAGGGGTCGGTTCCAGCTCCATGCCCCTCTGGGACTTCCAGGGCAGCACTATGCTCACGAGCCAGTATGTGCGTCTGACCCCCGACGAGCGCAGCAAGGAGGGCTCCATCTGGAACCACCAGGTGAGGGGTTTCCCAGAGGAGAGGTGTGCGGCTCGCAAAACCACCGTTCCCTGTCTCCCAGCAGCCGAGACCTGAGCCTGGTTTATCGCTTGCGCCTCACTCCCCCGTCCCTCTCTTGGTCACACCCGCCGATACTGGGGGAGTCGTTATTGTGTGCTGTGCTTGACACTTCTCGCCTTCCTCACTTACTTCCTTCAAAAGCCATGTGGGGTCAGTCATGTGTCTCCGTTTTACTAAGAATGTCTCAATTAAAAGTGCCTTTCCCAAAATCACATAGCCAGGAAAGTAGCAGAGCTGAATTGAACCTCTCTCGATAGTGGGAAGAATAGAACGAATGGGATCTTTTTTGGGGGGCGGGGTTCAGAGTCTCACTCTGTCACCCAGGCTGGAGTGCGTGGCTCGCTCACAGCCACTGCAGCCTCAACCTGCTGGGTTCAGGTGATCCTTCTGCCTCAGCCTTCCAATGGTAGCACCATGCCCAGCCACCGTGCCCAGCTAGTTTTTTGATTTATTGTGGAAACAAGGTCTCACCAAGTTGCCCAGGTTGGTCTCGAATTCCTTGGCTCAGGCGACCCTTTCACCTCTGCTTCCCAGAGTGCTGGGATTACAGGCGTGAGCCACTGTTCCCGGCTGAACTGGATCTTTCTTTACTGGCTGTTTTGCTGTGTGTTAGGCCCTGATCTTGCCATGCCTTACTGCATTTAGTTCTCAAGCAGGCTGTTTGGAATAGATGGCTTTCATGACTTCATGCATAATGGCATAAACGGCACTTAAACTCTGATCTGTCTGATCTCCAAGCCCAGCAATTTGTCCGATACACTTTAGCATCTTCCTTTGGACAGTAGAGGAACCCCTGAGAACTCTTCCCCAGTGCTCAGTTGACGGTCTTGTCATCAGTGGTATGGAGGGACGGGGCTTGTCAGCAGGTTTAGTTTCTGTGACCTTTGCCAGAGGTCAGGAAGCCTGAGGTATCATGGGCTTGTAGTACGCGAGCAGTGACCAATATCACACACCAAGGCTGTCGAGGTCAGGAGAGGGGTGGAAGGGGAGTAATTGGGAGCTAGGTTACAGCTTAGAGCAGAGCCTGCTCCTGCCCCGGCCTGCCTCATCCCAGCGCTGCCATGGCTTATGCTGTTGGCCAGCATCCTAGCCTTCTCCATCACCCTGCTCTCGGGTCCCTTCTGGCTGTCTTCTTCTCGTTCTGGAGCCCACACTAGCCTTGTGTTGCCTCAGCTGCCTGGCCCTCAGCTCCTCCTCTCTTTCGGCACCATGCCTCCACACGTGCTGTTAGCAGCATCTGGGTTGCTTTCTTCAGCTTTCACTCAGTTGCCCCAGCCTGGGGTTATGTCTAGACAATCTGGCCCTTGGTGTGTTTCCAGTCCTCTCTGTGAATTTTGTTCCAGCCTCTCTGGCTGCCTTCTCGCCTCAGGACCTTTGCACTTGATGTTCCCGCTGTCTGGGACACTGCCTCCTGGCTCTTCATGCCCACTTGGCTTCTTCTCATCTGTTCAGTCTCGCTTCAAGTGCCACCCACTCAGACAGTGCTTCATAATAACCTTATCTCCCCCGAGTCACATTGTGTCACATTATTCTGTCTTAGGACTTTCAAATTTTTTTTTTAAAGATAATGTAGGCTTATTTTTCATAAAAATGAGTTCAGTCTAGCTCCCTTTTTTTTTTTGTGTTGGAGTTGGAGTCTCACTCATTACCCAGGCTGGAGTGCAGTGGCATGCTCACGGCCACCCCAGCGTTGCCATGCTGGGCTCAGGTGATCCTTCCGCCTCAGCCTCCCAAGTAGCTGGAACTACAGGCACGTGCCACCATGCCTGACTAATTTAGCTCCTTTTTTAAAAAGCAAGGTACAAGCCGGGCTCGGTGACTCGGGCTCAGTGGCTCAGCCTGTAATCTCGCGCCTTGGGAGACTGAGGTGAGTGGATTGCCTGAGCCTGCGGGTTTGAGACCCTCCTGGGCAACTTGGTGAGACCTCATCTCTACAATAAATCAAAAAAATTAGCGCGCGCCTGCAGTTCCAGCTACTAGGAAAGCTGAGGCGGAAGGATCGCCGGAGCCCAGGAGGTCGAGGCTGCGGTGACCAGGAGCGGCCACTGCACTCCAGTCTGGGCGACAGAGTGAGACTCCAATTCAAAAATAAAATAAAAAGCAAGGTACAGATCGCTCTGGAACTGTTAGAAATGGGGTTTAACTACAAGTAACAGACACATCTATGACAGTGGCTTAAATTATGATTGTAGGGTAACCTCTTCAGTTCCCCTCCCACTGTGGGAGCTTTTCTTTCCTTTCAATAAATCCTGCTTTCAAAAAAAAGACTGGCCGGGCTCGGTGGCTCAGCCTGTAATCCCAGCACTTTGGGAGGCCAAGGTGAGGGAATTGCCTGAACCTGTGGGTCCGAGACCCGCCTGGGCCACTTGGTGAGACCTCATCTCTACAATAAATCAAAAAATCAACTGGGTGTGGTAGCGTGCGCCTATAGTTCCAAGTACTTGGAAGGCTGAGGTGGAAGGATCGCCGGAGCCCAGCAGATCGAGGCTGCGGTGGCTGGGAGCGGCCACTGCACTCCAGTCTGGGTGACAGAGTGAGACTCCAACTCAAAAAAAAAAAGAAAATTACGATTGTAGGTAGCTGGTGGTTGGCATTGTTGGTGGCTTGAGAGGTCGTAGGACTGAGAGGATCCTGCACTTCATCAGGTTTTCAGTCTGAAATGAAATTGTTTTGCCTTCCTCCATCCACCTCGCATTCAGCTCCAGGAACCATTCTGCTTGGCCCTGCTAGTACTACCATAGAACGCTTAGGATTTTCTGTCCATTGTTTCCCAAAAAATGCCTCTTCCTTCATTGAACTAGAGAAATGCCTTTTGAACTTTTCTCTTTTTTGTGTTCTTTACTCACTTCATCTGAAGAGATGCACATTCAGACAGACACTCCCTGAGCGCTGCTGTCTTACAAGCAGACATAAGATAGATCTTGCTAGCCGGGCTTGGTGGCTCAGCCTGTAATCCCACACCTTTGGGAGGCTGAGGTGAGTGGATTGCCTGGGCCCGCGGATTTGAGACCCGCCTAGGCAGCGAGACCTCATCTCTGTAATAAATAAAAAAATCAGCTGGGCGTGGTAGCGCATGCCTATAATTACGGCTACTCAGAAGGCTGAGGCAGAAGGATCGCCGGAGCCCAGCAAGTAGAGGCTGCGGTGACCGGGAGCGGCCACTGCACTCCAGTCTGGGCGGCAGAGTGAGACTCCAACTCAAAAAAAAAAAAGATAGCTCTTGCTGTGCTGTGAGGTTCAGTGGCTCAAGGTAACCAGAACTCCAAGTGCCTGGTGGCTGGAGCACAGGGCCCAGGAGGTAAGGAAGCTCCTCAGTCCCCATTGTTTTGGGAATCTTGTGTGGAGGCTGCAGCAGTGGGCTATAAGCTTCTTTTTTGATGATGGCTGCACTCTGAAATTTTATATCTTTTCACACTTTTTAAAAGTTGATATTGGCCAGGCCTGGTTGCTCACACCTGTAATCCAGGCACTTTGGGACACTGAGGTGGGAGGATCACTTGAGCACAGGAGTTCAAAACCAGCCCGAAAGCTTGGAAATGGTGGCTCACGCCTATAATCCCAGGACTTTGGGAGGCCGAGGTGAGAGAATTGCCTGAGCCCGTGGGTTTGAGACCAGCCTGGACAACTTCGCGAGACCTCATCTCTACAATAAATCAAAAAATTAGCAGGGCATAGTAGTACATGACTGTAGTTCCAGCTACTTGAAAGGCTGAGGTAGAAGGATCGCCTGAACCCAGCAGGTCAAGGCTACAGTGGCCAGGAGCATTCCAAAGCCCTGCCACTTGTGTGACAGAATGAGACTTCAACTCAAAAAAACAAACAAACAAAACAAAAACCACCCAGCCTGGGAGACATAGTGAGACCCTGTCTCTAAAAATATTTATGTATATATTTAAATTGTCAGGCCAGGCTCTGTGACTCAGCCTGTAATCCCAGCAATTTGGGAGGCCAAGGTGAGTGGATTGCCTGAACCCGCGGGTTTGAGACCAGCCCGGGCAACTTGGTGAGACCTCGTCTCTACAATAAATAAAAAATTAGCCAGGTATGGTAGCATGTGCATGTAGTTCCGGCTACTTAGAAGACTGAGGTGGAAGAATTACCAGGGTCCAGCAGGTCAATGCTGGAGTGGCTGTGAGCATGCTACTGCACTCCAGCCTGGGCAACGGAGTGAGACTCCAACTCAAAAAATAAACAAGTAAATAAAAATAAGTTGTTATACTGCCTTGTGTGGTGGCTCATGCCTATACTCCCAGCACTTTGGGAGGCTGAGGCAGGAGGATCACTTGAGCCCAGGAATTCAAGACCAGCCTAGGAAACATAGCAAGACCTCATCTCTGCAAGAAGATTAAAAATTAGCCAGTTGTGATGGTGTACACCTGAAGTCCCAGCTACTCAAGAGGCTAAGGTGGGCGAATTGCCTAAACCTAGGAGTCTGAGATCGAGTGTGCTGTGACTGCACCACTGCACTCCAGCCTGGGTGACAGAGTGAGACACCCCCAACTCAAAAAATAGAAATAAAACTTGTCATAAGTTTAAATATTTGCAGAGGATATGATTTGTAGCATATTTTATTTAATTCTGTTTATTTTTATTTTTATTTTTTTTTGAGTTGGAGTCTCACTCTGTCACCCAGACTGTAGTGCCATGGCCGCTCCCGACCCCTGCAGCCTCAACCTGCTGTGCTCCGGCGATCCTTCCGCCTCAGCCTTCTGAGTAACTGGAACTACAGGCGTGCACTACCACGCCTGGCTAATTTTTTGATTTATTGTAGAGATGAGGTCTCGCCAAGTTGCCCAGGCAGGTCTCAAACCCGTGGGCTCAGGCAATTCACTCACCTCGGCCTCCCAAAACGCGGGATTACAGGCTGAGCCACTGAGCCCGGCTATTTTTATTTTTTGAGACGGGGTCTCCCTTTGTTGTCCAGGCTGGAGTGCAGTGGC